TTATTTCCCTTTCCCTGTTTATTGTGAGCCGCCCGGAGTCCTTCGGGAGTGGGCGGCATACAAAACTAATAAACAACAACTAATAAACAAACAATTCACCCCTGTCCATTCAACTCAAGAAGCTGTGTGAACTCCTAAAGTTGCCATAGTGAGGAAAGGAGGGGGGAGCGCATTCCACGCATACTTTTCGGCTAGAATCGAATCTCAGATCACCGCAGCAGACCTGGGAGGGCGTCACCTCATTGGGGAATGTGATTTATGACACAGACTGAGGGGAGGGAAGGAACAGGGGTAAAGTTCAGCTATATTTCAAATAAGGCTAAGATCTGACTGCACAAAAAAGGCATTGCCAAAATGTTCCTAATAAATGACTGGTTCTCTTTTGAAATTTGACTCGAGCCTCATGAATCAATTAGGACAGCTGTTCTCTACTGTCAAAACCCAGTCAGAATAGACAACTGTACCTTGTCTTCGTCATAGAGGGATGGGTGTCCCGATTCTGGAAAGGTGGGGCTTGGAGGTGGAGAGTCGCAAAAGCATCCCATAATCTCGTCAAAAAGCCTGAAGCAGGACATAAGCAAAAGATCAACCATCGTCCCAACATCCAACAGCAATCCAACCTTTTAAAATATTCCCAGCATTCCGCTCCATTCCATTGCCTCAAACTACACCCCACTCATCTCTTCTGGTTTCTTTGGTCTACAATATCCTGCAATATTTCTGAAGCACAACATCGAAAGGTGTAAAAAAAAATAGGAAGGGAGAAGAGTCGCTTAACATTACAAGTGTTTCTCAATCTTGGTGGCTTCAAGAAGGACTTCAACTCCCAGAATTCCTCAGCCGGCATTGCTGATTGGAGAACTCTGGGAGTTGAAGTCCACATATCTTAAAGTCTCCAAGGTTGAGAATCACTGAAGTACATGATGACAAAATGCATAGATTGCTGCTTTCCCTTACCTAGATGAAGCAGACAACTTCAAAGTCAAACCCAAAGGTGCTTTTTCAAAAGGCAACTTGGACTTTCTTGCTTTTTACTTGAAGACGTTTTGCTTCTCACCCAAAAAGCTTCTTCACTTCTTCATGAACTGGATGAGAAGCGAAACGCCTTCAGGAAAAAAAAAACAAACCCAAGAATGCCCTGTTGCCTTTTGAAAAAGCCCCTGTGGGACAATCATGAACTGGATGACCGAGAATCTCTATAGACTTTCAAAGTTTAAAAAACATCTCTACCATAAGATGTTCAACAGAGCTTTGCCCCAGATCCCTTCACCCTTATGTTATTTTTTACCTCCTACCCTTCCAATCCTGCCTTCAAATTACCCCTTTTGATACGTAGCTTAACTTGGGGGGTTGCGCACTGCAGAAGGAGAAGAGAGGAGGCAGAAGAAAGGAGAGAGGAAAGAAAAGAAAGAAGAGGAGGGGGAGGGGGGAGGAGGAGAAAAAGAAGCAGGAGGAGGAGAAGGAGAAAGAGAGGGGGGAGGAGGAGAAAAAGAAGCAGGAGGAGGAGAAGGAGAAAGAGAAGAAGAAGAA